GGTTGTCATATTTTTTGTCATTTCAATGAAAAAATGCAGTTCCTTAACAGTCACACGCAATAACTAACAACAACAAAAGACTTTCTTGACTTTCGAATATTTTTCCGTCAATCTTAATTCATGAAAATGAAAAATTCATATCACGTCTACAGCAGCTCTATGTATCTAAAATGTGACTGGGAACTAGTGGTTAATGAAATGCTGTACGTAGCACTAACGAGCTTACAATCGGTCTCTCAATTCATATCGTTACAAAAAGTGATATAAATACAAATAAAGGGAATCTCTCCAGTGATTAGCACTTTAGCTCTTTTTTTCCCTCAGTTGCAAAACAACCCAATAATCAACGAGCACACACACAAAACTTCATTGATAAAAAAAAGGTTGAGAAATGTAATGATGGATAATCCTAATAAAAATTAAAGAGCAGTTTGCTGCGAAACTATTGGATAAATAATCATACTTCTACAAAATTAACTCAAAACATCCTTTCAATCTAGTCTACAATCACAACAATAGGCCCCATACTGTACAAGCCGACGACTTCACGTCCAGTTCAGAAAATCCATATTTTACGAAAAACAAGATAGGTTCGTCGTATCTCTTTCATAATCAATCACGAGAGTCAACGGGGGGACTTCCATCAGCGCTGCATCATCAATACGTTGAACAGGTCATGTAGATAAACCTGAATTATGGCAGTTGTTGCTGCCAACTTGGGTCACGAACAACGAGTCATTCGCTTACTTGTCATGAATTTTGTCAAAAACGCAAACAAACATCGTTGTCAAAACGTCGACATATTATGAAGCGTTACCTTGTTAAATCGCTTTTGCTGATGTCACCAAAAGTTAATCAAGAAACAATAGTTGCCTGTTGTGTAGTAGCTTGTAAGTCACCTAATGATAAACTTGTATGTATTTTTACTTTTACCATGCCAACTTACGATTAAACGAATCGACCTAGGATTTGATTCTATCAAAACGACTTTTAGAAACTGCACGAAAAATTTAATGTGTTTAAAATGTACTTTTCCCACAAAATCAATTTAACACATATTGGATGATATGAAGTCTAGAATACTACGAGTACGTTGTACAATTTTGCATTGATACAACGACGGGGGAAAGAAAATTATTAGATATTGTAAAAGTAGGTTCAAAAAAACCTCTATAAGGTGTCTCAGTATGTAATTAAATTTGAAAAGTCCACCTGACTGAATTGTGTTGCCTTGGTACTACAAAAATAAAAAAATGAGTAAATTAGGATTTAACAATTTTTATGCTGGACTAAGTGAAAAGTTCAATTTATTAATTGTGTTCTGTTGAAATCTTGAGTGGAAACTTATGTGAAAATAGTTATTTAAGATTATTAAAAAAATTTAATTTTCCTTTTTTTTATTTCCATCCAACTTTTTTTATGTCGGAGCCTTTAAAAAACTTATAATTTTATAATCAGTTTGTGATAAGTAAGAGCTGTCCTAAAGAGGTGCACTTTACAAAGTTTTGTAACATTTTGATTGTCAGTCTTATTAATCATTTTGCATCAAATCTAAAATAGTAATAAAAAACACCATATTTTAATTTCATGTAATAATATAAATGTTTATGAATCAAGGGAATTAAAAAAAAAAATTCATTTTTTGTTGTTTTCAAATTGTTCCTATGAAAAAATTTTTTTTTTGCTTTGATTCGCTTGCCTTTTTTTATACGATGTATAAAACTAAATTAATGTGAATATAAAACAATCAACTACGTAAGGAAACTTCCGTCTGATTTTATGAGAAAAATAGAGAAAATATATTGCCGAGAAGCAAGATTCGCCATTCGCTTTTGTGATCTTAATACCTCATCCTATTGTTTACATCTCTATATTTTATGTACCTGACGCTTAAGTTATTTTCGCAAATTAGTAACTTGCGTTATTTCCTTAATTTTTATTATGAACTTTATCACAATAAAAATTTACACTGTTACACAGGCAGAACTGCTCGAAAACACGTTCAAACTTATTTTTAACTACGAATAAAATCTACAAGTTACCTCGTAATAGTTAATAACATCATAAAAATTATGATCCAGCTTTAGGAAGCATTGACTATTTTGATTTCGAATTAAAAGATTGTCAAAATTTACTCTAGTGTACGTGTGACCTCGTTTCAACAAGGGGAAATCTGAATTCCATGGAAGATAAGATTAATATTTTTACACGTATCAACTAGATGTTTAAATAACACGGTATTATAGCTGAGTGAAATTAAGCAAATGAACAGCATATCTCACATTATGGGTATAAAAGCTTCTGATTTTCTTCTGATTTTTCAGTGAGGTGCATTTAGTACTGAAACATACGTCAAGTATAGAATCATGGACTCTCGACTTTTATCGATTCTCTTTGCATTTGCTTCATTAAGCGTTGGTGAGATAATTCAAACTTACTAAACATTCTTTTAGGTTTACTCCCCAAGTTTTTTCAACAATTTTTTGAAGTATAATATTTTAATATTTAGGCGTGCAAAGTTCAATTTGCTTTTATTTGTGCACAGTTACTTTTTCTGAATAGTTATTTTACTAGATATGTCGAAATACGTCTAGATGTATTTCTTGACAATTTAAAATTAAATTATAATATATTGAGGCTGTATTAGTAATTCGAAAGGTTGTTTACTTGAAAAAATAGTTGTCTTACGTATACAGTTTAGTGTTTACTTTTCAAAAGAAAAATTTTTGTAAAGATTTTTGTTTTGTTGAATTACTTACTTTTGAGTTTTTCACACTGAGGTTCAGCCCCTCAATCCTAGTCCTCAGATTGCGAAACGTTTGAAGTAAGTTCTTCTCCAGATTCTCTAGTTTTTTATAGTTTTGTCAAAAGTTCATAAGTCATCTGATTTTTCCGTAATATGTTGCGACCTAAAAATTAAATTTTTTATTCAATTTAAAAACCTACATCTTTTTAGAATAACATTATCCATTTACCTGTCAAAAAAGTGTGTACAGCAAGGTGTACAAAATAACAGATTAAATCATAGCACCGAAAAAAATTTATGAAGCACTTCAGTAAAAAACATTAGAACATTGAACATTTTCGTCAATAACTAAAAAAATTGTACGATTATTTTAGGGTCCTGAATTGCTAAATACATGAGCTTAAATGTTGATTTGTCACAAAAATATGCCTTGAAGTATTTTTATGTAAACAAAATGTGGTAATTAAATAAAAGCTTATGATTTTTTTCAACATATAACGTAAGAGGATTATGCTTTTAATGTTATTTCCAATAATTAGTAAATCACGTACGATGTTTACTTCAAGGTGTACTTAGCATAGCAGTCATGAGTCAACGTGATTATATTGGTGTAATTTTCTCCATAACGTCAGAAATTCTGTACTTTTTATAGTGCCAATTTTTCAAAGTTTCGTATACTTTGATTCTTTTATATTCTTTTGTCTTCATCTTTTTTTTACTTTTTTTTAGTCTATAGCAACCCAAATTTATTGTCACCGTAAATGCCTAGAACAAAATCATCAAACTTACAGTACTGAAAAAAGCTTTAATATTTTTAAAACACTCAAAAATTAATGTTTAAAAACTTAACTACATTTTTATGTAGTACTCTTTTTTTCTGAATTTTCACTTGTATTTTTTTTTTTAACTTTAAAAATTTATTTTTATTCCTTAAGCTTATACTTAAAATTAAGCCAAAGCTATTTCACTCCATTAATATAAATTTTTTTCAGTTAATGGCTACTATTACCCTCAGTTTCCGTACATGGTTGCTGTATACTTGAATCAAGGGAATTAAAAAAAAAAATTCATTTTTTGTTGTTTTCAAATTGTTCCTATGAAAAAATTTTTTTTTTGCTTTGATTCGCTTGCCTTTTTTTATACGATGTATAAAACTAAATTAATGTGAATATAAAACAATCAACTACGTAAGGAAACTTCCGTCTGATTTTATGAGAAAAATAGAGAAAATATATTGCCGAGAAGCAAGATTCGCCATTCGCTTTTGTGATCTTAATACCTCATCCTATTGTTTACATCTCTATATTTTATGTACCTGACGCTTAAGTTATTTTCGCAAATTAGTAACTTGCGTTATTTCCTTAATTTTTATTATGAACTTTATCACAATAAAAATTTACACTGTTACACAGGCAGAACTGCTCGAAAACACGTTCAAACTTATTTTTAACTACGAATAAAATCTACAAGTTACCTCGTAATAGTTAATAACATCATAAAAATTATGATCCAGCTTTAGGAAGCATTGACTATTTTGATTTCGAATTAAAAGATTGTCAAAATTTACTCTAGTGTACGTGTGACCTCGTTTCAACAAGGGGAAATCTGAATTCCATGGAAGATAAGATTAATATTTTTACACGTATCAACTAGATGTTTAAATAACACGGTATTATAGCTGAGTGAAATTAAGCAAATGAACAGCATATCTCACATTATGGGTATAAAAGCTTCTGATTTTCTTCTGATTTTTCAGTGAGGTGCATTTAGTACTGAAACATACGTCAAGTATAGAATCATGGACTCTCGACTTTTATCGATTCTCTTTGCATTTGCTTCATTAAGCGTTGGTGAGATAATTCAAACTTACTAAACATTCTTTTAGGTTTACTCCCCAAGTTTTTTCAACAATTTTTTGAAGTATAATATTTTAATATTTAGGCGTGCAAAGTTCAATTTGCTTTTATTTGTGCACAGTTACTTTTTCTGAATAGTTATTTTACTAGATATGTCGAAATACGTCTAGATGTATTTCTTGACAATTTAAAATTAAATTATAATATATTGAGGCTGTATTAGTAATTCGAAAGGTTGTTTACTTGAAAAAATAGTTGTCTTACGTATACAGTTTAGTGTTTACTTTTCAAAAGAAAAATTTTTGTAAAGATTTTTGTTTTGTTGAATTACTTACTTTTGAGTTTTTCACACTGAGGTTCAGCCCCTCAATCCTAGTCCTCAGATTGCGAAACGTTTGAAGTAAGTTCTTCTCCAGATTCTCTAGTTTTTTATAGTTTTGTCAAAAGTTCATAAGTCATCTGATTTTTCCGTAATATGTTGCGACCTAAAAATTAAATTTTTTATTCAATTTAAAAACCTACATCTTTTTAGAATAACATTATCCATTTACCTGTCAAAAAAGTGTGTACAGCAAGGTGTACAAAATAACAGATTAAATCATAGCACCGAAAAAAATTTATGAAGCACTTCAGTAAAAAACATTAGAACATTGAACATTTTCGTCAATAACTAAAAAAATTGTACGATTATTTTAGGGTCCTGAATTGCTAAATACATGAGCTTAAATGTTGATTTGTCACAAAAATATGCCTTGAAGTATTTTTATGTAAACAAAATGTGGTAATTAAATAAAAGCTTATGATTTTTTTCAACATATAACGTAAGAGGATTATGCTTTTAATGTTATTTCCAATAATTAGTAAATCACGTACGATGTTTACTTCAAGGTGTACTTAGCATAGCAGTCATGAGTCAACGTGATTATATTGGTGTAATTTTCTCCATAACGTCAGAAATTCTGTACTTTTTATAGTGCCAATTTTTCAAAGTTTCGTATACTTTGATTCTTTTATATTCTTTTGTCTTCATCTTTTTTTTACTTTTTTTTAGTCTATAGCAACCCAAATTTATTGTCACCGTAAATGCCTAGAACAAAATCATCAAACTTACAGTACTGAAAAAAGCTTTAATATTTTTAAAACACTCAAAAATTAATGTTTAAAAACTTAACTACATTTTTATGTAGTACTCTTTTTTTCTGAATTTTCACTTGTATTTTTTTTTTTAACTTTAAAAATTTATTTTTATTCCTTAAGCTTATACTTAAAATTAAGCCAAAGCTATTTCACTCCATTAATATAAATTTTTTTCAGTTAATGGCTACTATTACCCTCAGTTTCCGTACATGGTTGCTGTATACTCGGATTCTTTAATTTGTGGTGGTGTACTCATTAAGCCCAACATCGTGTTAACTGCGGCTCATTGTGTCAAAGACGCCAAAAATCCACCAAAAAAAGTATACGCTGGAGTAATAGATCTAAATGATCCTGAATTTTTTTATGCCACTCAATCAAAACGTATTGATGCGATTTACGCACATGCAAAATACCAGAGCAACGAAAACGAAACGTATCCCATAAATGACATCGCTTTATTGAAAGTAAGAAAAAACTCGTAGTTTTAAATATTCGTAATAAAATTTTACTATATTACTTAATCTTCAGTTGGAAAGTAGCTTCAAATTGGGATTTGCCGTTAACGTATTAGAATTACCTAATAAAGAGGATGATATTCACAATCAAATCGCTATTTTTAGTGGTTATGGCTGGGACACAGTAGAAATAACCACAAACTCTGAAGGAAAATCAGTGCGACAAGGGTCACCTAGTCTATTCTTAAAATACGCCGAAGTAGCAGTTGATGCACCATCAGACGATTATCCTAAAACCATTATCAGAGGTCAAATGCTGCAAATATATGAGGGTAAAACCGGCGCTTGCGTTGTAAGGATCATTATTTTAAATTTTGATGGATCAAAATGCTGTTTAAGTTATATATTGTAATAATTTTCTTCCTAAAAAATTTATTAAACATTTTAATATTTTACAGGGTGATGACGGTGGCCCTCTAGTTACTAATGAAAACAAGGTTATTGGCATATTAAATACTTTTACGTATGAATGTGATGAGACCAGTAGTCCTTCATATTACACCAGAGTATCCCAATACTTGGACTTTATCCAAGGAGTTATAGACGGTAAACCCATAAAAGAAGAAACTGAGTTTGTCGTTGTCAATCAAGACCTAACAAATGATGTATAATACGATATTGGAAAAAGTAAAAAAGACTCCAAATCATCGAGTCCAAAGATCCACGTTGCATCATATTTCTTGTCTCCAACAAAAATACTTTTATTATAATAAATTATAATTTGGATAATAATGTTTGTAAATCATTGCAGAAGGCTTAATAAAATTTTACTAATTGTAATAAGTGTGTTTCATTTTTGCACAAAATCAAATTTTACTTATAATCCCATTCCCTCGGACTTTTAATACACAATTTAACATGCATTACTTCATCTTAGTTAATCAGAAATTAAATGTTAGAATCAGGATGAACAATTTTCTTCAAACTAACTTCAGTTTTTGTAGCACCGAGTATTCTTATTAAAATACAAAATACATTTCTTACAACTTTCAATGGTAATAAAAATTTCCTATAAGAAATATCTTTTTCCCAGATTACTGCACACAGCACTGCACAAACGGTATTATTTTCAGTCATTTATCCACTCTGGGATTGAGCAAAAATTTTCAATCCTTTAAAGTAAAAAGTGATGATTTACCTGTTAATCATGTTTTCGAATATTCATTTCTTTATGAGTACCTCTGGCAAGCACTACTTAAATTTAAAAAAATGTTTTATTTGAGGCCTGTTATAAGGAATACCAACAGTTTATAACTCCAACTTTCTAAGTTATGTAAAAAAACTAATTTTTTTCAACTTTTTAATGTTTGCTTTTTGCCCATAAGGACATTAAAAAATTTGTTTGGATCTGTGTAGATAGTTTAAAATTGTATTTTATTGAGATCTGCACAGTACATTTCCTCGACTGTGCGAGCTGCTATCGACTATGGATAAACTTAAAACATCAAGTTACAAAAGTACATAGAAAATACTGATTTTTTAATGATTATTGTTCAACCGTTTTGAGGCTATTTACTTTTTTTATTTTTTTTCTTTTGTGAGATTATAAGGAAAAAACGAAGCTAAAAACTAAATTTGAGGTAAATCGAACGTACAGTTTTGAAGCTAGAAAAACTGAAAAAAAAAAAAAAACGGAAAACCCCCAAGTCATGTTTAAAATTTGTTTTTGTAAAAGTATTTGTCAAAAACTAAGATGCGAAAGTATCAAATGTAATTTGAAAAAATTATTTATTTATTTACAATAATAGTATACAGTTTATATTAGAAAATGGAAAGTATAAGATGATACCTCATACTAAAAAGAAGATATTCGAATTCCATGGAATATAAGATAATTTTGTGGAATATCAGTATTTTTTCTTTAATCATCCAGGTGTTCTAGTAGAAGGGTACTTTTTCAGACAGTGCCGTTTAATTTTACGTACAAGATGGTAAGATACAGTGACATTGTACAAATATCGACTCCATTCCTTGCATGTGACTAAACTTTATAAAATACACTATTACATATAAAGTAAGCGACTAGTCGATGAAGTGAAGTGCTATTGTATCGTGAACAGCACCTCTCTTATTTTTAGCCATTGACGCACAGCGGTATCAATCATGTAAGCGGCTTATCTTATACTTAAGTGTTGCGTATAAAATCAACGTGCCTTTAACTTTATAGAAAATTATACTTAGTACGTAAGTAGACATCAAGAAGTATAGAACTATGGACCTCCACATATTAATTCTTATAACAGTTGTTGTAAGGAATATGGGTGAGATACTTTAAACCAATTCAACAGTAATATACTTCATTTTGACTGAATACTTTTTTGAAAACTTGGTGTGCCAAGTAAAATTTTTTTTTTACAACTGCACCATCTGAATATTTTTAATTACATTCAAGCCATCAGTTTATAACTACCAGAGGTGATACTTCTTTTTTTTTAACGAAAGGTGATACTTCCTTTGTTTGTTTTCGGGTTCTTTATTATAATATATCTAAAATATCAACAACTTTTTTTTTAATTGGCTGACAAATACCTCCATGTTTATTTTATACAACTTTTTTTTAGAAATAACGCAAAACTTATGTAGCTAAGTACTCAATTGAAAAATTATTTTATTCATACATTACTTAATATTGGTGGATTGGAAATTAAATAGCAAATGGCTGGAAAAAGGTGGCGATAACTATACTTACGGTATGATTAGAGAAAAAAAAAATAAAGAAATCAAAGATTCAGTAGTATACAACATGTGTCACTGCTCAAAGATAATAGTTTTTCTTAAATTTGTCGTTTACTTTTTATTTGTATCCTTGTAAAGGCACCCTTCTGTATCATATCTACGTAATCTTTATAATGATACCAATTATAAACACATATTCTTTTTAAGATGACTATTAATATTAACGCAACAATGTAAATAAGTAAATACATTAAAAAACCTTTTTCTTACAATACAAAAACGTATGGGTGGTATTTGAAGGAACATTATTAAATTACAAATTTCAATCACCATTTTACTTTACACTAACTGTAAGAAAATATAGTTTTTTTACCTTGGGAAGTTTTTCGTTAAATTTGGTGGTTTTACAACGCCCTCTGTAGGAAAAATAGTATTCGCCATCCAATCGGGACTACTCTATGGCTATGAAATACCCCCGGTGATGATGGCGCTTGGATGATAAAAACTATTATTTTTATCTCTTTTTTTTCTTTGAAAAGAGTAAATAAATAAAAGTATCATTACTTTAGATCATTTTTATAATAAAATGTTACCACTTAATGCATTGAATTTTTCAAAAAGCCCGTCCATCAAACCAAGTAACCTGTCTACCAATCACGTAATGAATAAAAAGACTTCAATCACATGTCAATCAACCTTTAAAAATAGTAAATAAGTGCCAATTAAGTACTGGCGTTAGACTTTTTATCGTTTTTATAGATTTCATTTGAAATATTTTTCAGTTACTCGCTTGGATTCTGAACATATAATTGGTGGAAAGTTAGCAGATCTAGAACAGTTTGCGTACCAGGTCTTTATAGATTTCGAACCTGGAATTTGTGGTGGTGCACTCATTAAGCCTAACATCGTGTTAACTGCAGCTCACTGTATTAAGGACGACAAAAATCCACCGAAAAAAGTATACGCTGGAGTAACACGTTTAAATAATCCTGAATTTTCTGTTCAAACGAAATTTGCGAAAGAGATTTACAATCATGCAAAATACCAGAGCAACGAAAACGAAAAATATCCCTTAAATGACATTGCTTTGTGAAAAGTAAGAATCAGTTTAACACGTTATGTTTACTGCACAATGATAGCTACGCCTTACGAGTATTACTTTATTTTTAGCTGGAAAGTAACTTTAAATTGAATGATTACGTTAACCTAGTAAAATTACCTAAATGGGGGGAGGATTTTCACAATAAAATCGCTGTTTTGGCTGGTTTTGGCTTGACCGCAATGAGTGCAACCGCGTGGCGCCTGCGATGTAAGAATGTTAATTTTTAAAAAATGTATATTATAAAACTGATTGCACAGTACGGTAATATAACTCGTTGCATAATTCTCCTCATTTAAACTATTTTTCAGGGTAACAGTGGTGGTCCACTCGTTTTTTATGACAATAATGGCGATACAGTTATTGGAATCTTAAGTTCTTGTCCATTTGACTGTGACGAGGCCGATAAGCCTTCATATTATACCAAAGTCTCAGAATACCTAGACTTTATTCAAGGAGTTATAGACGGCAAACCAATAAAGGAAGAAACTGAGTTTGCCATTTTTAATTGAAACCTGATAAGTAGTGTATTGTGCCGAAATGATAAAGTGGTCAAGACTGCAAATACTCCAGTCTCAAAATATATGCAGTATTGGTGCTCTACGAGTACTGACGGCGTACTCATTCAAATATTGCAATTGTAAACATTAACATTGATTTACTTACATTTTTATCTAACCACTGAGCGGTTTTAGTTAAAATTTGTATTATAATATGGAAGAGTAACGGTTCTACTATTTATGTAAGCTATGAATAAATGGTCGTATTATGTGGTACACTTTCAATTCTTAGTAATTTTCCTTTGAAAATGAGTACTTTGTAATAATACGGGAATGACTTACTGATATTTGTAACAAAATATAATATTTATACAATAGAACATAATAATATGGTGATTTGTGATTCATAATAAGACATACGATCAAAAAAACGATGCCTTTACCTAAAAAACCATGCATCTTTTTCCAGCTGCAACACAAAACTTATGTAACTAAATACTCAATTGAAAAACTTTTTAATTCTATTGTATGAATACATAATGCTTAATCTTGGTAGATTGGAAAATATCTCCAATAAAAATAATCCATTATAATTACGTATGCCAACTGTAATCTCAAACCAATAAGTCTTTAAGGCAACTCTACAAGTGAGGCAGAGTTTTTTTTCAATTCTCTATTATATCGTAAGGAAAAAAACCAACAATAACATAAGTAACAGCAATTATTCATGTGCATCTTTAGAAAAGAGAGAAAAAAAGGCAAGCCCAATAAGTATGAATCGCCAAAGTGACCAGTTCACAAGAGTATCGAGGAATTTGACTCAAATCGTTCCCATTCGCACACCCCTCCTCTTCCCTTAGTACCGAGATGTACGCTTCTTCATTCACGTTCTCGAAATAAGCTCGGGAACGCATTAGCAGATATATCATGGGTAAAAGTGCCGTAAAAGAAAATTCCTTATAAAAGTCGAGTGAATGAACGACGGCTGTGAATGAAAAAACACGGCCCAGACAGCGCGTCGCCTCACTCTCCCAACTCCCTGGCCTAAAACTTTTACCAACTTTTACTTACATTGTCGCACCTATACATCTTTAAGTCCAGAGAAAGGGCTTTTCTCCAAAAATACACACACATACACATATGCACCCATAATGACCACTACACAGTATATGCACTCGTGCAACGCCCACCATGCTATGCATGGCAACCGAGAAATAAAGAGTCCAGTGTGAAAAAAGCAAAGTATGGCTTTTTGTCCACGTATGCCTATTTACACACACACACGTACCATCAGCAGTTTGGCTCACTAAACGGCGTTTAAACATCGCGAGCGGACCTTTTTTTCCTTCTCGAGGCGGGATTCGAAAAAAAGTGGGGTTGTTCCCTTTTTGGGCACTCAATGGGGCTCATCCCCACCCTCTTTTTCTTCAATCCCGAGGTTTTTCTGGAACTTTTCGCCGAATTCGAGAATCTTGCCCTTCATTCATGAAAAGGAAGAGT